TTATTTTTATGTTGCTTTCGCTTTCCAGGTGGCCCATAAAGCATGTACGCTGCAAGCAACTAAAGAATACTTGGGAGTCAATAATAAAACCGTTGCAGTGGAGTGGATTCAGACTCATGGGAACACTTTGTTACTGAGTAGAACTGCTCTATGGGGTATTCTTGCCAGTTAGAATACTAAACTCAACAAATTCTAATTAAAATTCAACAAATTCAAATGAAAATTCACTAGGCAATCAGGAAGGTTGGTTTAGGGTGCCTTCTATCTTGCTTTTGGGCATAGAGGTGCTTTCTGAAGTGGAACTGCACTTCCTGAACTTTAATTGTATGTGGGTGTGCTGAAGAGACTGACACAGATGAAATGGAAAGTGTCCAAAATAATTAAGTACTAAATTGGGCTGTATTTACTGTGTTAGAAATGTGCGGAAAAGGGATTTCTCTGTGGCAAGGTGAAATGGAGGAAGACAGCATTTGGAGCTAAGAGGTGGGTGTGAGCATAGGTAACTAAAGAGCTTTTCTTGTTTGTGTGTCGGCAAATAAATGAGTGTGAGGAGCAGAAGGAAGGTTGGTGGAGAGGAGAGTGGAGGTTTCACAGTGTATAGTACAAAGAGAGGATTCCTAGGTGGCCCAAATTGTTGGTGCTGAACTCCTGACCAAAAGCTTGACCCTACTCAGTAGCACTGTGGGAGAAAGCTGTGGCTATGTGCTTCCATAAAGATTACAGCCGAGCAAACCCTATGTAACAGTTGTGCTGTGTAACACCTAGAGTTGCTATGAGTCAAAACTGCCTTTTGGCAATGAGTTTGGGTTTTAGTTGGAAGAGCAGAGGTCCCTAGAAAGAGGGTTTTGCAGTTACTCAGGAGGGAGTTGAATGCTTGCTTTGGCAGCAAATATACTAAAATTGGAATGATACAGAGATTAGCATGACCCTGCCCCAAGGATGACACACAAATTCGTGAAGTGTTCCATATTTTTATTATAAATTGTAGTCAATGTCATGAGACAAAGTGTATGTGAACTTCTGTATGGAAAGTGAATTTGCTCTGTAAACGTTCACCCAAATCACAATATAAGTAAATAAATAAATTTTAAAAAGAAGAGGGAGTTGAGGTAGTCCTAGACTAGAATGTTGACCCTGATAAAAGGAAGGAAAAGATAAAACATTTTTGAAGGAAAACTTAATATAGATTGGTGGCTGGTTGGCTATAGGTGGATGAATGAGAGAGCCCTAAAGGAGAATAGGAAGCAGCCTGATGAGAGCTTGGGTGCCTAGGGTAGAGGAGCTACTTCAAAATGATACATATGATGATAACAGCATAATGACTATACGTTGTGCTTGTCTATGCCATGTTGAAGACAATACTTCAAATCTGCATAATGCTCACAGGTTGTGCCCAATTTCTAGGCAGCAGGAGGGCTAGGGCACCATGGGCACTGTGATAGTTAATGTTGTGTGCCAACTTGGTTGGGCCATGACTGCCAGTGTTTTAGCAGTTATGACATAATTATCCCCCATGATGAGATCTGATGTAATGTAATCGTCTTCATGATGAGATCTGTTTTGAGCAGCCAGTCAGTTGAAAGTGAGTTTCCATTGGGGTGTGGCCTGCTTCCAATATATATGGAAAAGCTCTAGCAAAGCTCTCTAGCTTTTTGCTCTTTTTGGCTCCTGCATCTGGTTCATCATCATTTAGCCTTGAACAAGTGGCATGCCATATTGCCTGCTGATTTTGGGATTGTTGCCCTTGTAGCCTGTGAGCCAAAAGCCTGCCATCTTACTTGCTGATCTTGGATTTGTTAGCCTCCAAACAACAGCCTGCTGTATTGCCTGCGGGTTTTGGGATTGCCAGCCCCTGTGGCTACGTGAGTCAGGAGAAACC